GTCCCTCAGCTCTTCAGCTCAAGGCTAATGCTCTACCACTTGAGCCACAGTGCCACTTCTGGTTTTCTGGCAGTTTATTGGAGATAAGAGTTTCATGGACTTTCCTGCCGGGCTGGCTTTGAACTGTGATCCTCAGATCTCAGCCTCCTGAGCAACTAGGATTACAGGCATGAGCCACCAGTGCCCAGCTGACCTTATATACTTTTCTTTTGGGTGAATCTGTCTTAATTTACATATCCCTCTCTCTCTCTCTCTCTCTCTCTCTCTCTCTAGATAGATAGACGGGGGGCGGGGGCTTAAAAGGATATAGACTCCCCATGAGACCCTAAGCTCCCCTGCAGGCAAACAGAAGTTAAGTTTCACTCACTCACAATTGTATACCTAGAAACTAGCCTGGTCCTTAGCAGATTGTATATCAGATGTATAAACAAACTATTAGTAAAATATAGAAACACTGTAACACACTTCATCCCTAAGTGTCAAAATCTAGGCAGACTCACTTCTTGTGGATACCAAGGACCCACTTACAACTGACCACTTTTTTTTTGGTGTAGAATACTGAGGTTTGAATTCAGGGCCTCTCCTCACTAGGAGGCGTTTGAGTACAGCTGTGCCTCCAGCCCATGCCTTTCCCTTTTGTCAAAAACTTCAGCACAGAGTTAATGGGGGCAAGCAGCACAAAATATGGAGGCCATAGCCCTGGAAACAACCAATGTTTGTCAGGTCACTGGCTGGTGTTGATAACTGTTTTTCATTCGTGTTCCAACAAACACTTCTACACTGGTGAGAGATAGACATAAAATTATGATAATTTGCCTAGAGAGATTAATATGTGTAAACATGAGTCAATGTCAACGTATCTATAGATGAACAAAAAGATAGTATTTCATCTTTCCATTAAACTATATAAGCATACCTTAAAGTGCTGTGGGACAGAAATAACTGGATGCAGAGATGCCAAAGGACAAATGCAAAACCACACCCGTGGTGTGCTAGAGTTGGTCCACAACTGCATCTCTAGAGATAAGTACTAAATTGCAGGGAATTTTGAGATGTGGCTATTAAACAGCCATTATTAAGAATTAAATTGTATTATAATAAAATCAGTGAAGGCAATACTCAAAATTAATATCTTCCTAATTATTTCACTTTACTATTAGCTCATGAGATTATTTGTGTTGATGGTATCTGTATGGTAGAGATGTTAGATGATGGTTACTGCACACCCCTCCCCAGGTCCTCATCAGTGAGTCCACTGAGGCCTGAAATCAGCCATGTGGGGAGTATTTACATCATGGGGCTGATAAAGGGTTACCAATAAAGGGTTCCATGTTTTGGAGATGAACACACATGTACCTCTAGCAGCACACCAGTGAGCAAACCACTAGCCTATGTAAACACTTCAAATATGAAAATATTTCAAAGATGAATAATGAATGAAGTATTGAAACCTCTCTTTAGGAAATCATTTTTTTTTTCTTTCTTTTGGTTGATCATGGGGCTCAAACTTAGGGCCTCGGCACTGTCCCTGAACTTTTTTGCTCAAGGCTAGCTAGTGCTCTACTACTTTGAGTCACAGCACCATTTCTGGTTTTCTGGTGCTTAATTGGAAATAAGAGTCTCATGGGCTTTCCTGCCTGGACTAGCTTTGAACCATGATCCTCAGATCTCAGCCTCCTGAGTAGCTTATAGGCATGAGCCACTAGTACCCAGCCTCCTTTCAGTTTTGTTCATCTTGTTTTGTTTTGGTAGTATTAACTCAGGGTCTTGTGCTTGCTAGACAGGTGCTCTACCACTTGAGCCACTTAAAGAGTCTTTAGGGGTTAGACCTCCCCTCATGTCACTGCATGGAATTTCACCTCCTGTTTGATCCTTGGGCTTAAACCCTAAATATTTCTTTGCCTGTTTCTTCTTGGCTCTGGGCCAAGCTGTGTAACCTTGAGAAAGTCACATCCCTACCTTTCCAAGCTAGGTACGCATCGGAGTGAATGGGAGCACAAGACAAGCCGGCAAGTGTTCAGAACACTGACATCTGTCAGCTGCAGGTACTGGTGCTACATTCCCACAGTAGAATGATGCCTATTTTATCTTCATAAGGTTTTTCCCCTAGAGTTGATTCCCTTAACACCGCCATCATTTCGGCTGCTTTTATTAAATTCCCTCAAGTCTACATTTTTTTTTTCCTTAGAGCCGTGGAAATCAACACCAAATAGTATTCCAGATGCTACTTTCGATTCTAGCATTATAGGATTTACAGAGGGGGAGCAATCATCTTGCTAATGGCATATCGGCATAAAGATCCCATCAGTCAACAACATTCAAGTTTCTGTTCTCATCTGTAGGTCAAAGCTTCTGGTTCTCCCAGCTCATTATCCCAAAGACTCATCGTCCTACATCTGCTTTCTTGCCCCAGTGTGTCCATGAAGCACCCACCTATTGGGTCAAAGGACTCACCACCGTGCAGTCACCTCCAAAAAGGAAAGCACATCTACCTTTCACATACACATACCTAAAGAGCAGCCCAGTGATACTCACCTGAATGATTAGTCAGCAAACCATCAGAAATGAATCTAAGTGATGGAGGGCAGAGTTCAGTGAAGCCATGAGACAAAGGAAACACAGGAGGCCCAGGCTGATTAAAAAGCTAATTAGTTGTGGAAAATAAGGTTGGGCTGCAACCAAGAGTTTGTTTTTGACAAAGACAAACGAAAAGATCTAATAGTCATACTGGAGAACTTGGTTATTCTTTTATAGGAGTTGAAAGGCCAGAACAAAGCAACATTCAGTTTCAAAGTGCAGCTCTACTCCCCCTCTGTTTGTTGTTCTGCTCAAAAACATACAAGCTGCTTCCTTTCATCTGCACAGGCTCACACAATATGGAGATCCCACAATAGGCCGAAGCCAGATTTTAAAAAGAATGTACAAAGCGGGGGTCTACCCAGAGATCTTCCTGGCCTAGGAAAGGATCCTCTATGTCCCTGGCTGGAATGAAATAAATGAAAAGCAGCAGCAGCATCTTTGAGAGCGAAAGGCCAGCAGCCTTACCAGGAAAAAGGAAAAAAGAGACATCTCCTCCCCAAATGGTCCAAATTTATAAAGGTGTCTAAGCTGCTTAATAATTACAACAAGAAGGTCAATCTCTGTGTAGGAAATATGATGGGAGATGTGGGGGGCTGGCCACTGGGGAGGACCAGAGATGAGGATGATGCCAAATAATCTATGTGGACCTGAAACTGCAACTCCAGAGGTTCTGTAAAACTACTGGCCTCAAATATTGTTTTGATAAATAAGCAATATCCTTGTGGAATTGCAATCTCCAACTGTTCCACTGGCACGGACATCTCTGTAGTGACAGCACATGCCCCAGATTGTGGAGTTAACTTGAATTAAATTTCAGATGTAGGGGAGCTAAGGGAAGGGGTGGTGGCAGTGGGAGGTTTATAAACAGTATGCTGAGGCTCTGATGTTGTCAGAACCAGATGGCTTCAACTGTATCATTTAAAACAAAAACAAACATGTCCAGAAATCATGCAATGACAGAAGAAGCATTTGTGTCACCTATACCTGAAATTCCAACAACAGCTGTGTTGTATCCAGAGTGAAGTCCACTTTGGAAATCCCATAAATCCCACAAGAGACCCTCATCCTGCTAGAAGCTAGTACCAGACTGCAGCCCTCCCGAGGGTACATTCCCGGCGCCCATTGTCTCCAACCTAGAGTATCCTGTGACAGAAGAGGAGAGCAAATCTGGTTGGACCTGCAGGAACCCTGGAGGTCAATGAAGGCCCCTTTCCAGAGTTTGTTCTTCCTATTCCCAGAAGACGCAAGCTTTACTTCCAATTTTGTGCCTAAGCATTCCAGAAATGGAACTTCCTGCTCCATTCATTATGTAAGCTTCAGGATCCAATATGAGAAGATCTGGTGCTTGACAGTTGTGTGTGAACTTAGGCATGTTTCTTCCCTGGGTTTCAGCTTCTCCCAGCTATAGACTGGGAAGAGGCTATCTACCCCCTATCCAACCAACCAAACTCATCAAGGGTTAGAAGTTCAAATGAGACATGAAGATGGAGGTCAGCTAAGAGCTGAGAGCTGCTAAACAAATGCAATTATCCATGAGACAATATAGGTAGAGGAGACGTGGGGTCTGTTTGGAATACTTAAGTCTGTGTGCTAACGGGGAAACTGAGAGCTGAGATAGCATAGGCCAGCAGTCAGCACGTGGAGAACTGGGCACTTCCTTCCACAGAGGAAACCAGGACAAGCAATGGATGGAATGCTTTCTAATAAAGAGATTCTGACTTTGGTTAGTAATAAGCCCATCTATCTAATCAGTGTTGGTGTGGTGAGATAAATAAAAACCAGAAATTTTGTGAAGCTAATAAATGAGGGCCCACTGAAAAGAAATAGAAGGGGAAATAGGTTGAGGTTCGACCGAAGGTCTAATACTGCGCCCCCTTCAAACGGTGACTGCCCTTTGCAGCGCTTCCCGCTGCTCCAACACTGTGAACAGGCTGACAGGCGCCCACAGCAGTCTTGGGAGCTCAGTGGGAGTTAAGACCTTAACTTTCCTAGAAACACATCAAGTCAGTAACAGGACCAATCAGCAACAGTACTTTTCCTTTATTTAATCTCCACATCCATGTTTCCTGGATCCTTTTATATTTAGTTAGGAGGAAGGGGATTGAAGATTAGGTCTTCAAACATATAGCGTGCAGAAAAGCCCATTATAATTACTTGCCTTGGCAGAGGTAGGGGCCTGGTCCCTCATCGGGATGTGGACTATCAGATACTAAAGGAAGACAAGACTGGCAGATGCTGAGAGCTCACAAAGGAAACAAGATTATGGAGAATAAATAAATCCCTACTGCTTATTAGACATTTCAAACATAATCTCCCCAAGATGAAGGATCAAACAAGGGCTTCGAAATCCCTTATGCAAGAAACTCAGACTCAAGAGACAAGCCAGGTGAGTGAAACAAAAGACCAGAGATACCACACGGTACAAAATAGTAATTATTTATATTTTCAAAAAGAAAAAACTTAACATTTGGAAGTTCTCCCCGGTAGGAAGAGGAGCTAATCAGAAGGAACAGGACTGGCTCCTATGCAGGCGGCAAGTCAGGTATGAACAGCTGAGCAATCTGGGCTAGGATTTGTTTTTCACACAGTATTAATAATAAAATTTCCTTTTCTCTTTGCTTTTTTGTGTGTTTCCTAGTTTTGTTTGTTTGTTTGTTTTTTTGCCTGTATTTTTTTTTCTTAGAAAAAAGGGAGGGGAGGGAAGAGAAATAAAATCAGAGAAAAATGCCAAAAAACATTTTCCACAATATCTAAAAACAGAGAACCATTGTTCTTATCAAGACAGTATAAATTCTGGATGAATTATTTTTTCCAGTTTTCAACACCAATAAAGATTTTTGCAAAAGCTACTACCATCAAAACACTCATCTTCCAGATCAAATGACCTCCTTTCCCCTTCTGCTTTCATTTGTCACTTTTCATAAGAGGATACAAAGATAGACTCCGTTCTTGCAAACAATAAGTGCTAACAATGAGATGTCTTCTCATACTTGTATGATAGTGAGGAATGTTCACAAACATCCAAGTTTTAGCACAACTGGAAGGACTAAAATTTGCTTCTTTTAACATAAATACTATTGGAATCCACAAACTGATTTTTGAAAAATTTTGCAAAAATTCTTCTTTCCTTTTCCCTTCTCTTAAAACTAAATGTCCTCTTTCTTTTTTCTTTTTCCTTTTTGCTCCAGGCACCTGACGATTTGTTCTGCTCAGTCAGATGCAGGTAGGTTTCTCCGAAGTACCACCGCTGGGATGTGCTTGGGGCCAGTGCCTAAACTGAATCCCAGTGTCAGACTTGGCCAGGCCAAAGGGAACACGGTGACACGGCAACAGGGTTTTCATTAGGTTGAGTAGCCCCCAGTCCTGGGCCCGTCCCTCCCCCCGTTCCCCTAAGTTATTTAGTGCTGTTTTAAAAGTCTGGGGCCATGATGCAGTCTTTTCCCACAACAGAGTAAAAGCTCCAGATTGCGCTGTCCTGTCTACCTGGTGGTCAATGGCAGCAGCAGTGGCTTCTGCTTCTGGAAAATAAACGGAGTCTCACAACTGGCAGGATTTAGGACTGCTTCAGGCGTTTGCGTGGGGGCCCCAGGAAAGGGCACTGTGCTGAAGCCAGAGAGCGGTATGCTTCAGCCACCAAGTGGGGGTGCGACACCACCATTGACTTCCACCCAGAGGTCTCCAAAACGTCCGAAGCATGACTAGGAAAAACATGGAAAGAAGGTTACCTGAGGGATGTGCAAAAGATGGATAGGACAGCACCCGGGACAGTGTGCTTCCCAGTGTCTGGTATAGAGGGCGTTAATGAAGGCTGTGCCCAGAAACCTTAATATGCACAAGAATCTGTTAAGACTGGTGATTGGACTGTGGCTGTCCTAATTCTCAAAATGGGGACATTGAGCCATTGCACCCGTGCACTTCGTGTTCACTAACGATACTAATAAGGAGAAAGAGCAAGGGTTCCTTCTTTAACTCTGAGCTACCACCTAGCTTTGTCATTTAACCAGATCATAGCTGGGGTCTATTTGTCAAAAAGGAGGGAAAAGAATCTGGTGTGGTAGTGTATACCTGTAAGATGAGCGACTCAAAGGCAGAGGCAGAAGCATCAAGAGTTTAAAGTCATTTGGACAAAATTTGGGAGACCTTATCTCAAAAATAAGAATTAAGAGCTGGGCTGGGTGGTAGAGTGGCTCAGTGGTAGAGTGCTTGCCTCACATGCATGAGGCCCTGGGTTCGATTCCTCAGCATCACATAAGCAGAAAAAAGCTAAGTGGCTCTGTGGCTCAAGTGGTAGGGAGCTAGCCTTGAGCTGAAGAGCTGAGGGACAGCACCCAAGCCCAGAGTTCAGGCTCCACGACAAAAAAAAAAAAAAAAAAAAAGAATTAAGAGGTGTGGGTGTAATTCAAGTGATAGAGCATCTGTCTAACAAAAGCATGATGCCCTGGACGAAATTCCTGGTACTATACCAAAGGTGGGGGTGGGGAAGGGGGTTGAGAACAGAGGGGATCACCATACTTCTTTCAATGGTAAAGTTCTAACAGGTTCCAAGCATGCATCAAGTACACAGTGAGCACTCAGTGGAACTTCATATTTGGTGGTCTCTTCTCCCTCTTCTGTCTCAATTGATAACTCCTTAGAAACAATCTTACAACGAGATCTAGAGAAAATAATCTCCTGGGTTTGTTTTTTTTTAACCATTTTCTATGTTAATTTATTGTTCATTTACCTATCTAGAATGTCTCAGATTTGTTTTACCCCAGAGCTTGCTTCTATATCAACTTTTAATCCACATCAGCAAGGGAAGAGAATGTGTACCAATGAGAAGATGAACTGTAGTAACAACTCATCTTGGTACCTTCAAAGGATTTCAGAATTCTTTCACTTGAAGAAACAGGAATAGTGTAATGTTTCTTTCTCAAAACAACATTTAACAATTTCAGTTACTGATTATTTCCTTTCTTTTCCCTATCCCTGCATAAACTATCAGATACACTTTACTAACTCATTAAAAAAAAAAGTACTTCTATGTCTTTTATTAAGTTAGTGAAGTAAAAATGCTGTCACTAGGGGCACACAGCCTTTTCAGGCCAGTACATTACATTACCATTTTCATCAATTCTGATCATATTTGGAAGCAAACACTTCACTCACAACTAGGATTTGATCTATGAAAGCAAAACTACTTTCCATACTGTCAAGCTGAAGAAAAAGATGAAAACTCTATCCTTACTACCAAAAGGTTAATGAAGCTACTTGCCTGCTTTACCTACAAATTCAAAGTCTTTCTCCTTTCTTTATCCAATTATTCTGAAAGAGGAACTTTGAAAATGCCAACTCACTAGTTGATGAAATCCACTGCCTGAGTTTTCAACTGATCTGCACTGTGGAGGTCAGCCAGGATGAGAATTTCTGCGGCATTCTCCACAGAGAGGTTACTGCAGAGGGCGTCCTCACACATGACCTTCAAACGCTCCAGGGCATACTGTAAAACACAAGCAATGCTGTCGTCAGAGCAGCTATCATTCTGGGCTGATCGCTACAGATTTTCTTTGGCTGTAGCACAGTATAACTGGATACCAAAACAACATTGCACAGGGCATGAAAAGCTACTATTGTAATGAGAAAACATAAACACACTCTTGAAGGTTAGTTGATTAAGCTTGAACTAAAGTCAGCTAAAGTTAAGGTCCATCTATTTGTGAAAAACGGCAATTATATAGTAGAGCTACATCCTAAAGTTTACTCTATCAACTGTCTTTCTTAAATCATCACCACCCACCTACATGAGGCATAAGTATGCTTCAGGCCAACAGGAGCATTACATTTAAACTTTCTGCTATCCTTTTATCTAGAGCCAACTTGGGTGAAGCACAGGCCTTTCTTTCTACTTAAGCATTGTCACTAGCCCAGCAAGATATCCCAAATGGCCCACCAGGCTGGAAAAGGAATCCTGTGGTGACTTTCACCAGCATCTCTACTGCTAGGTGTTTCTGAATAGGGTGAACTAAGGGCCTCCTTTTAAAGAGAAAGAGATCAATAAAGTCCTGTTTTATTGAGGTTGAAGTTAACATTCTCAAGGGTGAAATATAAAGCAGAGACCATGGATCCAATTTCAGTTTAAAAACTCCCATTTTCTAAAGAAAAGGCACATACTATCTGGAAATGGAATGTCTAGGTTAACCTGGGCCTATCTGATCTAGTTGACTGGGTCTGATGCAGCTCTACTACTTGCTCGCTCATATGACATGAGCTTACAAAGGAAATTCAAGACAGAAAAAGTAACGAAATTAAAAAAAAAAGCACACACTAAAATGTCAATTCACAGGAGAACAGTTTGCTGAGCCTGCCCACAGTTCTTAGAGGTCCCATCCTGAGGGCCTCAGAACTCAATGGCATAACATCTCTCCAGGCTGAATCATAGCAATCAAATCAGGACATCTTCTGTTGTTATGAATTTGGGGTGAGGAGGCATGTCTGCAAGCCCTGTGAGCTCCTGCAGCTAAAAGGGAGTTTTATTGGTTTTGGTGCAACTTTAATTTTTTTTTATATTTGAGTAACTGGAAAATAGATTCCCAAGAAAAACAGGAATGACACTAGACAAGCAAGAAATAAGGTTGCAGTTTTTACTTAAAAAAAAAAAAAAAACCAGAAAAAGTGAGTAACTGTTCAGTCTTTTTTCAGTACTCGCATACTATTTCTCTTATCCTAATATTCTTTTAAAAGGACTTTTACTGTGAATAGCTCTGATCCCTACTGCATAATTAGACAAAAGTAGCCACTCTTGTCCCTTAGAGGATAAAATTTTTTTTCCCTTTAATTATGCTTCTGAAAAACCTGCCTAATGGCAGTACTTACCCCGGAGATTGAAATTATGTCTCCTAGGCCTGGCGACGTGTTTTGTTTTGTTTTTGGTCTAATTACACATGTCCCCAGGAGACTGGAAAAGCTCAGAAGAAGCTGTTTTAGCCTCTTGGGTACATTTTGATGTTTAGATCCTTCCATGAAATATTTCTTATTCTGCTTTCTTTAAAATTCACGGGGAAGAGTAAAGGTAAAAAATGTTTTTAAATAGTCTTGGAGCAAAGATTAATGGGAAACTCTGAATGGAAGTCGAAAAGGAACTCATTCATAATTTTAAAGCACTGCTATGGTTCAACTGCTTAATCTTAAAAATAGACAACAAACACACTGTATTGAAAATATTATCCTTAGAATGAAAAAAATTTAGGTTAACATCTTCACACTCTGTGTATAGAATTACTGTACGGTCTTTATGGTCTCTGGCTAAAAAGCAGTAATAAAACCTTAGGGACAAGAAGTTTAACTTCAGCCCTAAAGATGTACAAATTTAGGCCTTAGTATTTCTGTCTAAAAAGTAGGCCTTAGTTGGGTACTAGTGCTCACATCTGTAATACACTAAATACTTAGGAGGCTGAGATTTGAGGATCATGGTTCAAAGCCAACACCAGACAGGAAAGCCCCTGAGACTTTTTTTTTGCCAGTCCTGGGGCTTGAACTCAGGGCCTGAGTACTGTCCCTGAGATGCTTTTGCTAGCACTCTACCACTTGAGCCACAGTGCCACTTCCGGTTTTTTCTGTTTATGTGGTACTGAGGAATCAAACCCAGGGCCTCAAGCATGCGAGGCAAACACTCTACCACTACCTTCCCAGCCCATCCCGAGACTTTTTTTTGGGGGGGGGGGGGGCTCCCAGTCGTGGGGCCTGAACTCTGGGCCTGGGCACTGTCCCTCAGCTCTTCAGCTCAAGGCTAGTGCTCTACTACTTGAGCCACAGCGCCACTTCCGGCTTTTTTCTTTTTGCTTATGTAGTGCTGAGGAATCGAACCCAGGGCAAGGCAAGCGCTCTATCACTGAGCCACCTTCCCAGCCCCTCCCTGAGACTTTTATCTCCATTAATTGGAGATAAAAAAGCTGGAAATAGAGCCATAGCTTAAATGGTAGAGAGCTAAGCCTTCAGCACAAAAGCTCAGGGACAGTGCCCAAGCACTGAATTCAAGCCCCAGGACCAGCATGAATGCATACACACACACACACACACACACACACACACACACACACACTCTCTCTCTCTCTCTCTCCCTCACACACTCTCCCCCCCCCCCCAAAAAAAAAAAAAAAAAAAAAAAGTAAGCTCAGGGACAGTGCCTAAGCACTGAATTCAAGCCCCAGGACCAGCATCAATGCATGTGTATACACACACACACACACACACACACACTCTCTCTCTCTCTCTCTCTCTCTCTCTCTCTCTCTCTCTCTCTCCAAAAAAGAAAAAAAAAAAAAAAAGGTGGGCCTTGAGGTACTACTAGTCCTTCCAAGATCTAGAAGATGAGGAACTAAATACCTGATGTAGACAAGAACAAGTGACTACTCACTGAAATCCACAGCAGTTCAGGCAGAATCACCTAAACTATGCTCTAGCTTCTATTCTCCAGAGTTTGCAGCAAATGTTTGCTTTCATTTTGGGGGGGGGGGGAGGGGAGAGTCCTGGGCTTGAACAGCACCACTTCCAGTTTTCTGTTAGTTACTTGGAGAAAGAGTCTCACGGACTTTTCTGCCTGGGCTGGCTTTGAACTTCTATACTTAGATCTCAGCCTCCTGAGTAACTAGGATTACAGGTGTGAGCCATGGGCACCCATGTCTTACTGAAACCAAGTTTCTACTGATCGGTAAGCTTAGAGTAGAAGGATACAATCATTATTCCCATCTTCATCAGCTTTACTGATAGGATCTATGTATCTCATCCTCTAGGCACATTCCAAAACGCTGATCAGTAAGGTAAAACCTCCACTGTAAATCCAGGCACCTTTCTGTGCCCACAGATGCAAAGAGAAGTGGAAGGAGACCATAACCAGTCCCACCCACCCGCCCCCTCCCACCACGAATACTCTCCTTCCAGATGATGTAGGAGCACCAAGACAAGAAAAGCTAGCATTCCAGCAGACAATCTTTTCCCATGAGGTCTACTATTGCAAGTTAAGTCCTTTTTAACATCTTCACACCCATCACTCCTGTTCTTACACAAGAAAGCTTCTCTACAGTGAGCCTCTGGGATGTTTTCATAGGCCCAAGGCCTGGACAAGCAGGTCTCTGGACTCCATCTAATTTGTCTATACAATCAAAGTCAGTTTCCCAATATGTGTTTTGGGTCCACTAATCCTCAGAAGTGATTCTTGAGAAGGAACTCAAGGTTAACTAAACTGTAGATGCTGTCCATCATATTCCCTTTTGGAAAACTCCCAGTGTACCTCATGCTTCATGTCTGAGAAATTCTGCAGTAAAATGGCAATTCTTTGACTTAGATAAATTCAGTATCTTCTTCCTTTCAAAGAGCCATTGATTGTTCTATAATTTTGAAGAGCTAGTATATCTTTCAGTAACTACTTAGCAGAGCTGAAAATGCTAACCACAATACAATGTATTCTGTTATAACAAAAATTTTTAAAAGATGGAAAATTATAAAGCACAATCCAAATGTTAGTGTTACTTGAATCTTTTCTCTTACTGTGGTTTAATTTGAATTGGGACAAGAAGAGAGGTGAACACCAACCCCATCTTTCTTTTCCATGATTAGGAGTGACCCCACAGTTTACCATTCATAGAAGAACACATTTGAGAACAAAAAGGTTACTATTAATTGTGTCGGAATGACATGTATAAATAAGTTTGTCTAGACCATACTAAGATATATGTATGCTTGTTTTACCCACAATGAAACAGATAAGTCCATTTTCAGAATTGAAGTAGTCACAATAACACCTGGACCTACAATTAATTTCCTATTCTTATCTTACCTTGTCAGCAGCTGCCAGCAAATCGTCAGCCATTTTGTCAAGGTTTGGAGCCTTTCCCGTGTAAATGAAGCACATCATTTCCTTAAAAACTTCAGGCTCCACATCGTTGATTTCAACCCGATTCTATGCCAGAAAAACTGAAAATGAGAAAACCTTCCAACAGAACAAAATCCTAACTATGTTCATGATTTTAAGCTCTGGTGAAGAGAGAAGCTTTTTATCACTTAAAATCACTTAAATGAATAGAAAATGTCTCCTTACCCTACTTGATATTATACCCTTCTCATCCTATTCAGCCTGTTTGCTTTCTCAAATATAAGAGCAAAACAACTATATCTGTAATTTTTTATTTTTCTGAACTTTCTAAGCAGAAACACGTATCTAATACCCTCACTGGCAACTGTTTAGAGGATCTCCTGGGGGATAAAGTGAGTCCACTTTCCCTGGAATACTTCCACACTGGTACCTCTTTCTCTGCTTTCAGAAGGTATCTATTCAGGGAATTGTACTCCATTTTAATAACACAGTAAGAAAAAAAATAATTAGGAAAATAAATCTGCTACCAAACTGGGAAATGATCTGATTCTAATCACCTGGCTAAAGACACGTATCCTTTCTGTTGTTACATACCTTTTTGCTCTCCTCCATTTCATGTTCAAACATGGCACTAAAAACTGGAGAACGAGCTACAAAGTGAAAGGGTAATAAACAGGTTAGATTTTCACATGTAATATCTTTGTTATCCTCTATCACCGTGAATAGATCATTTTCCTTCCTTCTCCCATCTCATTGAGGAAAGGGTTTCAAGTCACACTGGAATTACAGAATTTTCTTTCATATATACCAATGAGTAAATAATTATACAATATTTTTTCTTTTTCTGTGTGTGGGGAAGGGCAGTACTAAGGTTTGAACTCAAGCAAAACCTTGTGCTTGCTAGGGGGGGCACTAAGCCATGCCTCCAGATTCCAAACCACTTATTGCTCCCATTCCAAGCAATTTTAAATTCCAAGTAAGCCCAAGACATCAGTGGCTTATGCCTATAATCCTAGCTACTCAGGAAGCTGAGATCTAAGGTCATAGTTCAAAGCCAGCACAGGTAAGAAAGTCCATGAGACTCTTATCTCCAATTAACCACGTGGTACTGTAGCTTAAGTTGGTAGAATGCTAGCCTTGAGCAACAGAGCTCAGAGACAGCACCCAGGCCCTGAGTTCAAGCCCCATGATTGACCACCCCCACATCGCCCCCAAAAATAAATAGAGAAGGGCCCACAGCAGTATATATGTCTTAGAGGGTCACCAGGAGTACATTTTCCTTTGGTGTAGATAACCTAACACCTGCATTTTTGGCTGAAACAATGATACCAACTTTACTCTAGGAAAACCACATCCAGAGATGGCAACAGAGCAAGAAGGTCAAGAACTGAGATTGAGGGCTGGGAATGTAGCTTAGTGGTAGAGTGCTTGCCTAGCATGCATGAAGCCCTGGGTTTACTTCCTAAGTACCACATAAACAGAAAAAGCCAAAAGCGGCACTGTGGTTCAAGTGGTAGAGTGCTAACCTTGAGCAAAAGAAGCTCAGGGACAGTGTCCGGAGCCTGAAATTCAAGCCCCAAGACTAGAGAGAATAAAAACAAAACAAAAAGAACTGAAATTGACAGCACATACTAGCCAATGACAATGATTGATAGGCATTTATAGTGAATTGTCTATTCTTATAAGTTACACTTTTTTTTTTTTGTCAGTCGTGGGACTGGGCGCTGTCCCTCAGCTCTTCAGCTCAAGGCTAGTGCTCTATCACTTGAGCCACAGCACCACTTCTGGCCTTTTCTGCTTCTGTGGTGCTGAGGAATTGAACCCAGGGCCAAAGTTATACATTCTTTTTTTTTTTTTTGGGTCCGGTTGTGGAGCCTGAACTCTGGGTCTGGGCGCTGTCCCTCAGCTCTTCAGCTGAAGGCTAGCGCTCTACCACTTGAGCCACAGCGCCACTTCTGGCTTTTTTCTTTTTGCTTATGTGGTACTGAGGAATCGAACCCAGGGCCTCATGCATGCAAGGCAACCGCTCTATCACTGAGCCACCTTCCCAGCCCCTCAAAGTTATACATTCTTAATGGAGATGTTATCACTCTAGAGTTGGAAAAGGCCTTAGATAATACAATAATTTATGGCCCTTCAAAGTTCACTCTACCTGATAAAATCATCTTCCTTAGTACTTTTCTTATTAGGGAGAATTTAGTCTTTGTTCTTAGGGGTAGGAAGACTGAAATGGTTGGGAAAGTGTTCTAATCTATGCATATTCTAGTCTAATAAATACCATGAAAAAGAAGTAAACTTAATTTTAGCCATAAACAGTAATAAAATGACTAAGAACTCAAGTTTTTACATGTTGTTAATTAAATCAGAGGTCTTGGCCAAGGTTGAGACCAGCAACCATTACCAAACAGTGGAGGAACAGATGGAACATGTAGGAGGGTTTTGACCTAGCAGGCGGGAACTGGAACTTTTAGCCTATAGTTTATATCAGAAAGGATTAATTTTAGTTCTGTCATTTTATAACTTTTTTGTTCGTGGCAAATCACTTAACTGCCTAAGCCTCAATATTTTAATCTATACCAAAAGGGTTATTCTCACTGTCCTTATATCAGAAAAATTACAGACCACAGGATAACTATAAGGCACTGAAGCACTGGTGCTTTTTTATAAATAGGGAAGGGCCCACAACAGAGGGTCACCAGGCATAAACAGTAGCCGACATGATTGGAGTACACAGAATCCCCAGGGAAAATAAATATGAAAATAGAACTGAAGCAAACCTTTAGAGGGCTGACCAAAATGAATGTTCAAAGGGATGAGTGAGGAAGAGGGAGAGAGGCCACACGTTAGAGGTAGCCAATGATCCAGAAGAAAACTGGAGACAGGAGTAAAGTAATATATGAACTGAAGTCTCTCAAATTTAGAACTAGCAGGTCATGCATGTAACCTTGGCAAATTGCTTTCCTAGCATGAAGGTGAGCTGAGGATAAGTGGGAGGAAAAGAAGTAGAGAGTGAATGTGCTTACTCAAGAAATTTAGCTCTGGGAGGAAATGGAGAGAGAGAAGGAAGGGAGAGGGGAAGAAAGAGGGGGAGAGAATAACTGGTAGAGTAAGATTTCTGGGAGGACAAAATGGGATACAGAGAAGAGAAATGAAAAACAGACTGCTCTGAACATGGAGAAGATATCTACTGAGAACACAGGTAAGATGAAGGCCTTCCTACAAAAGGCCCCAATGTTCTCTTGGAGAAGTTGGCAATGATATCTTTTAGGAATTAGAGGAGACTAAAGGAGAATCTAAAATATTTCTTGTTGCTCAGCCTCCCCTGTGCTGGGATTACAAGTACGCACGACCATGCCCAGAATAGGTATGTAAGTCAGCATGATGAAGCTGAGGTCTTAGGAAGAAGTATGTTGCTTGGAGGTTCATATAATCTCTTCATAGGTTTTATGCTCTACAGAGCAGTGTGTGGCTGTCTGCTCTCCTTTCCTGTGAGGTGAAGTCAGTCCTCTGGGCAGTTCTACCTCTGGGTCAGTCTTTCTGGGCTTAAAATCCAAGGGCCTATTAGAGCAGGACCTGATCTTCCTTGTCCATGGCTACAGTCTGGTCCTCCTAATGTGTTTATACTGAAGAGAAAGCTGACTGCTTAAGGCTGGGGACCCATTCAGCTAAAGGTTATTTAGCTTGCAGGCAAGAATACTCTCAATTGCCTCCTAAGACCCTGCCTGGCAGCTGATACCCATTCTTTTTTTTTCAGATACTCATTCTTAACAAATGTTCTGACAGCTACTCCCCGGGTGCAAGAGCATTCAATACCTTTGCCCACCATCATCCACACATTGAAGACATTGGCCCAAGTCCAGTATATAAGGAAAAGCCACAGTGTGTGTGTGTGTGTGTGTGTGTGTGTGTGTGTGTGTGTGTGTGTGTGTGTGTGTGTGTGTGTGTGTGTGTGTGTGTGTGTGTGTGTGTGTGTGTGTGTGTGTGTGTGTGTGTGTGTGTGTGTGTGTGTGTGTGTGTGTGTGTGTGTGTGTGTGTGTGTGTGTGTGTGTGTGTGTGTGTGTGTGTGTGTGTGTGTGTGTGTATCCCGGGGCTTGCATTCTGGGCCTGGGTGCTGTTTCTGAGTGCTCAAGGCTAGTACTTTACTACTTGAGCCATACTCCACTTCTGGGTTTTTGGTGGTTAATGGGATTAAAGAGTCTCATGGACTTTACTGCCCAGACTGACTTCCAACTGTGATTCTGAGATCTCAGCCTCCTGAATGCCTAAAATTAGAGGCGTGAGCCACTGGCACCTAGCCACTCTACCCTTTTAATGGAGAACCCCTTTTTGGTTATGAGAACTAATGCCTTCATAACATGAAAATATATTTAGGTATAGAGTTTAAAAGGTTATTATGAATCTATCATTTTCCCTTATTTCACCAAAACTATAAAGTGAGCTGGAAGTGGTGCTGTGGCTCAATGGTAGAGCGCTAGCCTTGAGCTGAAGAGCCAAGGGACAGCTCCCAGGCCCAGAGTTCAAGCCTCACAACCGACAAAAAAACCAAAAAAACCAAAACAAAAAAACCCCAAAACTATAAAGTGACGCACAATTAAATACCAACCTGCTAAGATAGCTTTGTGAGCCTGAAATTCCTGGCCAGCAACACACAAGCAGCAGTCTGTGAACCGGGAATTCTCCCACAGCCCTCCTAACTCATCTGCCAACCGGCACTCAGGAACCTTCACCATGTTCATGGTATTCTGGCCAGAAATATTGACGGAATCTTGTACCACACTAACCTGTGAAATATAAGGAGACATCATCCAAAGCTTTTTTTTAACCAGCAAGTGGGGAGGTGACTTTTGCCTTAATGCTATAGAACAGTCACACACCAGTGTTAGTCGTATTCTCTCTTTTTCTTTTTCTTTTTTTTGGGGGGGTCCGGTTGTGGGGCCTGAACTCTGGGCCTGGGCGCTGTCCCTCAGCTCTTCAGCTCAAGTCTAGCGCTCTACCACTTGAGCCACAGTGCCACTTCCGGCTTTTTTCTTTTTCTGCTTATGTGGTGCTGAGGAATTTGAACCCTTCCCAGCCCAGTCGTATTCTCTCAAAGCCAGCTCCACAATCAAGGCTTTATCCTGAATCAAGTAATTTCCTATTAATCAGGACCACAGTTATTTTATACTACTTCAGGACAATGGTAAGAGCCCAACAGAGCAATTTCTCCAATTTCTAATAAGCTCTACCTCCCTGTACCATAAACCTGGGTAGAGCCAACAGGGGGAAACTGACAAGACAATCGTTAAACCTCACGGGCTGGGAAGGTGGCTCAGTGGTAGAATGCTTGCCTTGCATGCATGAGGCCCTGGGTTCACGATTCCTCAGCACCACATAAGCAGAAAAAGAAAAAAGCCAGAAGTGGCACTATGGCTTAAGTGGTAGAGCGCTAGCCTTGAGCTGAAGAGCTGAGGGACAGCGCCCAGGCCCAGAGTTCAGGCCCCATGACCGGACCCAAAAACAAAACAACAACAACAACAACAACAACAAAACAACCTCATGTGTTCATCTTCTCCTGCTTTAAACAAAAGGCTAAATATAAAGAATGCCTATATAAACTACCACTTGAACTCTGGAGGGTTCTCTCAAGCATAAAAGCACTTCACTTCATTTTAGTTGGGTTTGTAATATGTAAATAAAGCACAGCCAGGTAAGCGAACTGGCACTTCCTTAAAGTGTCAGCTTAATGAGCATAACATTACTGACCAGTATACAAGTAAGGGCTGAGCATGGAAGATCTTCCGGGCACGAATAACTGAGTGGATATAACACCACAATTGGTATACCTGTACTCAGTTAACTGTGACAGTGACATTTGAGATGGCTGGCTGCAGCCACACATGCACCTACAGCTTTGAAACAGAATGTCAATGGCATTTTCTTTCCACTGTGGTTCAGCAGCCTGTTTTAACCAGTAGAATAAATTGCTCTGCTTAATATAAACCAAACTAACTTCTAGATGGGTCTGTGAGACTCAGATAAATTTGTTGTTAAGGTACTAACTACAAGGATTTATAAATCACATAACTTTCTAAAATAAATGTCCATGAGCAAATGAATGCTAAGACCCCTTAGAGCAATCATCTGCCTAACTACCATTGCCATGCTCATCTCCTACAACATATTAGGTAAGAAAAGTTAAATCCATGCAGAATTCACAAGCCTTGAGAATTAACTCCCCATTCTTCCGAAGAGTCAGATGAGACATTTAGGAACATCTGTGATGACCCAGATTTCTTTTGACCTTCAAGATGCAAGTCATCTTTTAGCTGCAGTCACATGCCCAGAGGCAAAGTTGGCGCCCAATCTAGAGGAGCTATAGTTCCTTCTGTGTTACTATCAGGTCAAGAAACTTACTTATTTGTTTAAAAGTAGCTGTTATGGTCTTGAGTAGTGAAGCAGCCACGTTAATCAAGTATGAATGTGTTTAGCATTAGTAGCACATTTATCAGAGGCAGATTATAACACTTTTTAATAGCCTAGGAACAAACCACTCCACAGCAATTTTCTCTTGTCTTCTGTAAGCTTTCTAATTTGGTTCAGGCATTTTCTCATATTAATACTTCTTTGATTTAGCATTAATGTCAAAAGTATCTACTCTTAGATACAACTCTAAATTCTGATTTTTTTTAATGGAAAAGGAAAAGACTAATTAAATCCAACTTCTTCATTGGGAAAGGCAGAAATCTCTGGGGATGGCCAATGAAGGGAATGGAGAACACTTTTGGCACTGTGTTCCTAGCTTGAATTAAACCAGGTTGACAGGAGCCCAAAGTCATTAACACTTGATGGCAATTTAGTAGTCTGGGTAAAATGAATTGGCAAAAGCTAAGCTGAATTTTGCATAAACTATGGTTACTGGTGTACCTTCTGCTGGTTAGATACATATTTGGTAATGAGTGGGCACAAAGACTATGACACCTCTCACTGGGGCAATTCTTCTCTCTGGACACAGACAGGAACATAGCAGGAAAGAGAATGTTCCTTTACTGTCTGCACCAGGCTTGTTCTGTAGATATATGGATGCCTAGAGTCTCCAGAGCTCTGAATGTCTGGCACCTCTTACCAACATTAAATACGCTTAATTAAAAATAAATTTTAAATGGCATTCACAAATGAGTCTTTAGAGCCCAAACTTTTAGCTTAGAGAGGGATTGTTTTCCTCTGTAAATGATAATGCTAAAAATGAGACCATTTTGAGAAAAACTAAAGATATTTTTTTAATGCCTATAAAGTTGACTATGGAGACTCATTGAGAACTGCAGCTGTGAAGATGACGTGACTGTGACATTTATGTCGTCTTATAAATGAATGCAGGAAAATGTCTCAGGAAGACTGTATAATCCCCTAAGTTTCAAGTTGTAAAAGGGTCTCACTTTTAAAATCAATTTCTTTTCTTAAAAAAGATATTTCATAAAAGACTAAGGGTTGTGCCAATTCTGGTACATTCCATCTATAAAAAAGTCAAAGTAAAAATCCATGAAAATACACTAAAACAATAAAAAAATTAAATAGGCAGTACATACCAATTGTTTATAGTAGCAACAGTATTACTCATAGCAAAACACTAGCAACAACATAAATGTCGGTCAGCGAGAAGGAAAAAATAAATTGTACATTCACACAAAACATTATACTGCACTAAAAATGAGCTATGGTCACATGCAAAATACAAATATTAGATACATGATGTGAAAAAAGCAAATCCTAGCTGAGAACATATAGTCTGACATAGTTTTTAAAAAACTCAAAAGCAAGCAAATCTAAATAATTGATCAGACACAGAAGTAATAAACCAGGAGATGTTAACAAAATAGCCGTTTCTCATCTCTGAGTAGAGAATGGAGGAGTAGCAAATACAGGTTAGTTCTGATAATTATACTCAGGATACAGGAGGAGCGACTTAATTCCTAGTCACTGATGATCTTGGTTTGGGGGGTGGGCTGACTACATTTTCATGTTATAACCTATGATAATGTTATACATTAAATCAACATTTTTTTTTGGGGGGGGGGTCAGTTGTGGGTCTTGAACTCTGGGCCTGTGTGCTATCCCTGAGCTCTTCAGCTCAAGGCAAATACTCTACCACTTAAGCCACAGCACCATTTCCAATTTTCTGGAGATAAGAGTCTTATGAACCTTCCTGCCCAGGCTGGTTTTGAACCGTGATCCTCAGATCTCAATCTCCTGAGTAGCTAGGATTACCTAGGATTACAGACACGAGCCACCAAGCGCCCAGCTAAATCAACATTTTTATAGGACAAAACAATCAAATATTGGCACTTTCAAACAGTACAACTAATATATACAAATAATTCATTAGTGAAAACAAAACATCAATAGACTCATTTATAAAAATTGGCAAGGGCTGGGAAGGTGGCTCAGTGGTAGAGCGCTTGCCTTGCATGCATAAGGCCCTGGGTTCGATTCTTCAGCACCACATAAGCAGAAAAAAAAAGCCGGAAGTGGCACTGTGGCTCAAGTGGTAGTGTGCTAGCCTTGAGCTGAAGAGCTGAGGGACAGCGCCCAGGCCCAGAGTTCAGGCCCCACGACCAGACCCAAAAAAAAAAAAAAAAAAAAAAAAATTGGCAAAAACCATTTCAGGCTATGTAGGGACAGACTATGTTTGAGAATGGAAGGGAAGTAAACATATGTCTAGATATTTTATATTTCGTGTTTTACATGGCATTTCCTATTTCATCTTTAACTGTACCATTACAAAGAGACACAAGAATCTTTTACAGCTGTCAAAGGCATATACAATGAGGGGAAAATAAAGGTATCTTTATTGCTGTTACTTGTTAAATATAAATAACTGGAGAAAGGGTTAATAGAGTTTTCCTAAATATTTTCTGTGGTCCAAATTATTAAGAAGAAAATTAAAAGTATAATTTAAACATGTTTTCAGGTCTCTCTCTTCCATTTTTAAAGTCAATACTTTCTAAGAAAACTTGAGAGCCCTTGTTTTCTTGGGTGAATGGCATTTGGGTCCACTAAGTGTACCGCAGAAGTGTAGAGATGGGAAATGGAGGGCTGACATGGCCCTGACATTAATCTGCTGCACAATGTTAGGAAAAATTACCTGACCTCTTGAGGCACTGCTTCTCTCCCTGTAACATAAAATGAAGGAAGACAACTAACCTTGCTTACAGGATTGTGATAAGAGACAATTCAGAAGCTTTGAAAAAGCTTCCAAAAAAGTTAATTAAGCAAAATCAACATGAAAGAATTGCTACATTTCCTAATAGACAAAAATATCACTGAGAACTCAAAATGAAGCCAGAGTGGCATATTATAAAGAGCGTCCATTTGGCATTTTCAGTTTACAATCTAATTTCCTTTAACACTCAATAACAGTAATACCACTGAAATAAAGGCCAAAAGAAACACATATGTGATTCTCCATCTTTCACCTTAGGATTCCTCTTGTGGCCTCTGGGAATACCAAAAAGTCCTGGAAAATACCGTACTTAATGCATCAGGACAGCACACAAAGTGCCTAGGCCACCTACGGATGTAGGGAGAACAGTGGGACCTCATAACCTAATTTCCATGTGAACATCACTTTCATAAAGGCCTCTAAATAACAAAAACTAGCATAAATTAAAATAAGCTTGTTTATAAATATTTCATTGTAGAGGAGAAACAACAGGTCAAAAGGATGGAAGTTGCATCAAAAATGGTCTAGCTATGAAAAGTGCTAAGAACTTAGATGAGCTGTAGACAGTTCTTAAACCCACACATCCAATACACACCCCCGCGCAAACGTCTTGCAATGCTGAATGCTACTAAGTCCACAGAGAGTCTTGGAACAGAAATGAGTCTCACTAGGCACAATCCCAAGTATGAGAAGCAACACTCAGCACCTGTGCCCAACCGAGAAGTGTGAGAGGAACAGATGGCACACCTGGTTTGATGGTAAGAAACCGATGGCATCAGCAGAACCCAGCAGACGTTTCCCTGTTCAACATCTCCTCGTTTCCAACGTGTCATCTCACTTCCCTTCTAAGTCAGTAAGGCAAATCTAAACTTAACCACAGGATTTCTCCAAAGAGAATTTCGTGTGGGGAAGTGCAGATAGAGTGCTGGAACTCAGCCTCAGACTTAACCACAGGATAAAAGATTGCCAAGTGAGGGCAGGCTAACTAGTTTCCAAAATCAAGACTGTCAATACAGGGGTTGGAGCAGCTGGAGTGGACTAAGAAAGACAAGGACACACAGGAGAAAAACAGCAATCCACTATGGGCTTGGAGATGCTACAATAAAGGTTATGGCTCTGCCTAAAACACCAGATGCAATATTCAAAGAAGCTATCTTCAGAGAAGGTTGAAGATTGGCTTTTATTTCTGACAAAATTAGAACTTTCTACTATTTTAAAGTTTTGATTTGTTAAAAATGCAAGTCTCTAAGATAGATGAAGGCTAAAACTAATGCTATTTATATAACACATAACTTCACAAAAACCATTTAATTGTTCTCTTCAGTCAGCCAACTGAGTATCATCTGTGACTAGTAGAACTTTCATTCAAATGTCAAGTTCATCAGACATTAAAAAAAACTGCCACATTTTATATGTGTATATAGATAATAGTCCAGTAGTTTGTTTTTTTAGTTAGCAATTAAAATGGAGAGGGAATAGCTATTATGCAAACCATATTTATTCAGTGTATATGCCTGAATAAGTTTTCTAATAATTAGCAACTATTCTGTTAAAATACAGAAGAATGCTAGTGCTGGCCAGGTTTCTTTTGCAAAAGGACAGATTCCTCAGGGACTACCACCCCTGCTACACCAGTGGTGATATGTGTTTGGAACTGTCATTAACTCACAGTGTGAGCCTATTATTTGACAGAACAATCTGGCAGTTGGGAAACCTGCCTGCACTCTCCCCATGAAAGTGCAGTGGTAACCTCATCAAGTATGCTGCTCATGGAGTGGTTCCCTGGCCATATGGTATATAGTGTCACTAATGCCCCAGCTGACTAGGGGTTTTATTCATTTATTACAATGTGAGTTTAAGAGAATATTTCTAAATATATGGAAAACAACATGAAATGACTCAATGCTTTCCAATTGCATCTTGGTCTGGAAATTTTACTTCTAGGTTTTTCCTGTAAAGCTGGGAAGGCTCTACAGCCCTTGGTAAGAAACAGACCTTTCTACCTGACTATAGCTAACTCTCCCAGCGAACTCTGAGTTAGAAGTTTTACACAGATTTTGCCTAGAAAAAGTGTTTTCCACTCTCCTATTTCATAATACTCCAGCAAGACAAATCACAACTCAACTCCTAATGGGATTCATTGTGTTAAAGGGCAGAAAAGGAAAGTGATCTGATCCATTGTCAAACATACCTGGACTTCCACTCAAGAAGGAATAGCTGCTGGTCACTCTGCAGCTTGAAGTGACAGTCCTTCCAAATAGTATTTGAAAGGACCCAGCCAAAAATGCTAGAAACCTGATCCAAGCAACTCAGAACTGATAGATACTAAGACAACGCACAATCTTTATTTTGTGAACAATAACAAGTGGGAAGCTGACATGCCCAATAACCTTGAAATCATGAGGCAGTTCAAGAAGCCATATAAATAGTATCTGTACAGCACACTCCACTTGGGGATTTTTCTTATTCCACATCCCTAGTACAATACAATTAAGTCTACCAATACCATCACGTCTGGGAATTGTCAGTCTCAGAGTAGGGTGAAGGGACTCACCTCACAGAAGAGGGTAAGCTTGTCATCAGGGAGAAGTCCATTGGCTTCATCCAAGAGAAAATCTCTACGGATGAATTTTTTGAATCCCCAGTCTTTGCCTTGCACGAACCTATAAGCTCGCTGACTCTCTGGGATTGAAAGAAAAAAGTTATGTTTATAGTTACTAAAAAATCAGGTCAAATTCACGATTCATTAATGCATGTGTGTGAAAGTATAGTCAAACAGAAAGAACATTTACCCATAGCTTTGGTTTCTTCTCCCTTAGCATTCAGGATGGAGAATTTGAATTTTGCTCGAACTTCACTCTTTGGACAACTGACCAATAATAGGTAAAGTGACAGGTAATCTTTACTTTCTTCATCTAGCCCTTTTGGGTTTACTCGCAAACACCTGACCAAAAGGGAGAAGAAAAAAATGTAAACAAGAGTAAAGGGGAAAAGAAAAAAGAGAGTAGCCTGATAAGGCAGTGAAGTAACAGTATGAAACTGGAATATGATAATCAACAGAAGTTGTCTAAAAATCCAGGCCACATACAAGGAAATTACCCTTTACCAGAATAACTACTGGGGAATCATTCCTCTACAGCAATGTGGGTGGCCTTTTAAGTAGTAAACAAAAACAAGGGAGCAGTCTAGAATCTGACAATATATCCTTTTTCTCTCTTCCTTTTCACTTATAATCTCCCAAGTCATTCACTTTTTTCCTCTAAAATATTTTTAAATTCAGTTAGTCTTGTTTTAATCTAATCTTTGGAAAGCTTGCCCTTAATTTTGTTAGAACTATGGAGAGACTATAAAAAAAAAGTCAATGAGTCCTTTAATACTACTGTAGGAGAGAATAAGTATTCTGGAGAAATATGTACATAACATATAATCTTTTACGACATACTGGTAATCTGGCAATAATGTGTTAAGATTAAAATAACAGAAGCACTATGGAGAAGACAAAAGTAAAACCTCTGTTATACAGAACAATGTTTCAGATAGCTTCTAAATAGAGATGCCCATCTTTAACTATTGGGTGAATCAAAACAAAAATTCAGACAGAATTTAATAGGTTCAATTGAGTTTAAGTTGTAAATGTCATGAGCTGAATTGCATGTGGTTCAGATACTGCTTCTGTCACATAGAATACACAGGCCATATGTATCCATAGGCCTTGCCAGTATTACGGCACCTCTCTCAAACAGGTGGCCTAACCCAGTACCTCTCTAGGGAGTGCAGATGTCACATTTATCAACATGTAATATGCTAAAGATGTGGACCTAAAGACAATACCTAAGAATAAACACTTCTCTCCACATCTAGTGTTACACTGCTTAATGTATATAGTTGACAAATATCAAATAAATGAATAAATTCTTCAGTAAGTTATCAGAGGTTAAAACTGGTGATAAGATTTATTTGGGCTTTTGCAGTGGATCTATGGTTGTATCCTTAATTGCCTGCTCCTGTTCCTCAAGATGAATGGTTTAGACAAACTCCATTCCCAGGAAGCCTTCTCCATATTACTAGAGCTAAACCTTCAGTGTATGTATGACATATTCTTGGCTATGCAGTCAGTTCAGCAAAAGCTCAGACTCACTGGCATGTACTGGGTTATGTCCAGGCTACTGCTAGCCATCCTTTAAGCATAGGAAAGCTAGACCTGAGCTGTCCAACAGCACAGACAGTGGGCAAGGGAGAGAATCTGATCATGTCCCTGCTGGACAAAATCCATCCTACATCTAGTAAGTCCAGTTACAAAGATAAATTCCCTATATAGAAGGCAATTTAGAAGTTAAGGTTTATGTTAAAATCTAGGTTTCTTGGGCGGGGCAGGAGAGAATGACAAACAGAAAATCTGATTGTCAGACCTTTTTCACAGACTGCTTTTGGTTGGCTAAAGCTGAGTCAGTATATCTTTCCTTCTATCGATGGATCTGAGTGAGCATCAAACCAGGGCCTCACTCTTGCTAGGCAAATGCTCTGTCAGTGAGCCACAACTAGCCCTTTATCACTCCCTTTTAGATAAAAGGATACTTGTTAGTGTGCTGAGCAGATATATGGATATCATTTCTAAAACTAACCCTCTTTTCTTTTTTTTCTTTTTGGTTTGTCATGGGGCTTGAACTCAGGGCCTGGGAGCTATCCCTAAGCCTCTTTGTGCTCAAGGCTAGTGCTCTACCACTTGAATCACAGCACCACTTCTGATTTTTGAATGGTTATTTGAAGGTAAGAATCTCATGGGGACTTTTCTGCCTGGGCTAGCTTCGAACCACGGTCCTCAGATCTCAGCCTCTGGAGTAGCTAGGATTACAGGTGTGAGCTAGTGCCATCTGACTCTCTTTTTTCATTTATTCTGTAGCTTGAGTTTGCTAAACTCTTTTCATAAAAGCACTGAATTAATTCAACAAGCTTTTAGTGAGCATCTATTGTGTGCCACATGCTATTCTAGGCACTGGGGATATAGTAAGAACAAGACAAACTCTCTCACTTCAGGGAATTTACATTGTAGTCAGTGTGTCATGAAACAATTTATTCTGGGGGCCTGTGACTTATGCCTATAATCCTAGGTACTCAGGAAGCTGAGATATGAGAATCCATAGCCAAGACAGGAAAGTCTGTGAAACTCTTATCTCCAATAAACTACACCCCCTCAAAAAAAAAAAAAAAAAAAAAAAGCCAGAAGTAGAAATCTGGCTAACGTGGTAGAATGCTAGCCTAGAGCAAAAAAAGTTCAGGAACAATGGTCAAGACCTGAGCTCAAGCCCCAGGACTGGTATCAAAACAAACAATGCAAACCAGGCAACTTATAAATTTTTACAGCTAAAGGTATTCTTCCTTACCATTTCAGTTTATCATTGGCTCCTGATGAAAAAGTTGAACTTTTAATGACTTCACCCATTTCCTCGCGGCAAAAGCTAAAGTTATTGATGGTCCACATGTAGGAGAATTTCACTACTTTGATCTGTTGATAGAAAAGCAGGAAGCAATTAAATAGCAACTGGGCAAACAGAAAAAAACCAAGATGAAGATCAGCTGAGCATTTCCCCTCCCTCCCTCTCCTGTCTTCTCTAGCACTCCTGGGCCACAATAAAGACCCAGCTTTTGATTCCCTTCATCCTTCATCCACATTTTAAGAAACCTCAATCTGACCTACCTCATTTTTTTTTTTAAATGTCATTATTTGTTTTATTTTAGGGGGAAGTATTTTTCTTTTTTTCTCAGTCGTGGGGCCTGAACTCTAAGCCTGGGCACTGTCCCTCAGCTCTTAAGCTCAAGGATAGCGCTCTACTACTTGAGCCACAGCACCACTTCTGACTTTTTCTGCTTATGTGGTGCTGAGGAATCGAACCCAGGGCCTCATGCATGCAAGGTAAGCACTCTTACCACTGAGCTATCTTCCCAGCCCCTGACCTACCTCATTTTTTAAACATTTTTTTTTGGCTTCTGAGAAACACTGAATGGCAAGTAAGAAAAACATAGATGGGGGAAAAAAAACAATAATATAGACAGAATTGGGAAAGCGGACAATAAAACCATATTTAACATGAGCATGCAACTGAATTGTCTTAGGACTACAAATATCAATCGTGGCTGGGAAGGTGGCTCAGTGGTAGAGTGCTTGCCTTAAATGCATGAGGCCCTGGGTTTAATTTCTCAGCACTACATAAGCTGAAAAAGCCGGAAGCGGCGCTATGGCTCAAATGGTAGAGTGCTAGCCTTGAGCTGAAGAGCTGAGGGACAGTGCCCAGGCCCAGAGTTCGGGCCTCACGACTGGCCAAAAAAAAAAAAAAATCAATCTTGGACCCCCTAATAATAAAACCTAGAACGTTATCATGCTGTACTCAAGTGGTACAGCAACAGCCTTTAGTGGAAAAAGCTAAGCAAGAGTGTGAGGCCATAAGGTCAAGCCCTACTACAGGCACCAAAAAATACAAATAAAATAGCCAGGCACTGGTGACTTATGCCTGTAATCCTAGCTACTCAGGAGACCAAGATCTGAGAAGGAAGGAAAGTCCCTGAGACTCTTATCACTAATTAACCATGAAAAAAGCTGAGAGTGGAGCTGTAGCTCAAGTGGTAGAGCGCTAGTCTGGAACAAAAAGAGCTCAAGAACTTCACCCCAGAGTTCAAGTCCCAGGGCTAGCACAACAAACAAACAAACAAATCCCTTTTAACCACCACCGGAAAAACCGTAGCAAGCCTAGCCTTGAAGAATTAGATTTCAAGTTAAGAACTAAGGAATCGGGGCTGGGAAGGTGGCTCAGTGGTAGAGCGCTTTGCCTTGCATGCATGAGGCCCTGGGTTCGATTCCTCAGCACCACATAAGCAAAAAGAAAAAAAGCGAGAAGTAGCACTGTGGCTCAAGTGGTAGAGCGCTAGCCTTGAGCTGAAGAGCCGAGGGACAACGCCCAGGCCCAGAGGTCAGGCCCCATGACTGGACCAAAAAAAACAAAACAAAACTAAGGAATCCAAGCTGACCAAGTATCATATCTACCTGTTATTTGGCAGTTAAGTCCCACACAAAGTAGGAAACCCAAAGGAGAAAAGTAATCATGTTCTGCCCATCAAATCCTCTGAAGATGGAAGAATAGAACATGAACTTACCTGTGTGTAGCACCAGCTCTCAGCTACAGGGCCACTCGACATTTCTGCCGGAGGTGGAGGACTTGGAACCCTTGACATCGCCAGTTTGAAGGTTAAACAAGATTTTCAAAGTCAAGGGGCAAAGATTTCTATTCTTTCTTCACCCTGATTGGATCCAATAACCAGTAAGATCAGATTATTGGTTTACTATCTTATTATTTGTTTGATCCTCTAGAGAGACTGAGAACTTCGTGGTCTTTCTGAAATGCTCTATATTGATCATTCAGATGCCTCCTTATTAAAATATGATCCCTAAAGAAAACCACCTAGTCTCCTAACCATAATTGTATCATCCTGTTTTAACCTACACAACACTCAATATCTTCTTAGCAAATGAACTTACCCTAAGAGTATATATTAAGGCCCATCTATGGGCTGCCTGAGGGGTAGCCAAGATTGTTAAAACAATCTTGCCACTGATCCCCTTCCTTGGAGCACACATGCTTTGCTCCTAAAGACTTTAATATATTTCTATATATTTGCTTTATTTCCTGTACCTAACTGCAAATGCAGCCTCTATTCCTCAACCCTTTGCCAGCTGCTCTCTTAAAGGGCATATTTTCATACCTTTCCTAGAAGCAATCTTTTCTCTGCAGCACCAGAGAACTGGCCCCACTTATTCTCCCAGCCCTACTTTATTTTCTGAGTATTCTTGCTCTTGATAATTTCTCAATCTCTTCTATTGGATTCTCTTCTTCCATTGGTGTTCCCTGTGGTTTAATACTTAATCATTTTTTCAATCTACATTCTCTTTCAATCTACATTCTCTTTATGGCAATTGTATCCATATAAACAATATCCAATTTATGCCCTTATACAAACATTTCCCACATCAAACTCTCACTTATCTCATAAGCCCCAGACTTTCCACATTACTGCTATTCATCTCAATGGGGTGTTCTAGTAGCAAACCAAATCCAACTAAAAATTCTGTTAAAAAATCTGGTGAACTGGAGGGAGATTATGAGGAGATATATAGGTTAGGGGGTGCAAAGTTGCAAATATATAGGATGAATAAGTCCAGAGATCTAGTGTATATCATGGAGACTATGTATGATATTATATACTGGAAATAACTGCTGAGTAATTTTAGGGGTTGTTACCACACCTGCACTCAAATACAGGTCACTAGATCATGCAGATATGTTAATTGGTTTGAGTAATCATTTCACCGTATATACATGTATAAAGCATTCTGTATATCTTAACTATATATGTTTTAAAATTTATGAATTTAAAGCATTATAAATAAAGCCAAAATGAAAAGTGGAGAATGAGAAGTTTTCTATGCATGACAAAAGTATTTTACTAATATATACATATATATATATATATATGTATACTGTTCTTACAAAATCAGTAAGAAAATGGTCAACTACCCTATAAAAGTATCAATCATACAAAAAAGCTCTTAAATATTTTATATTTATCAGACCAACAGGAAAAAAGACTCAACCACACCACATATGGGAAAAAGGAAACTCTTCATACACTGGCCATGACAGTAAATCAGTTAAGTATATTATATACAGGAATGCAGCAATACCTAGTAAAACTAGATAGTATGTGTACTGAGACTTGGGACCTCACTTTTCACTATATGTGTAGTAGAGTTTCTCAAGTTTGGAGTGCATCAGAATCCCCTCTCAAGCAGTTCATGATTCAGAGGTTTAGGATGGGCCCCAAGGGTGTCATTTTTACAAGATCTCCAGTGATCCTGATGTACTAGTCCTGAAAATGATACAATTCAGTAGAAAAGCAGGCAGACAGGAATTGTATCCCATAGAACTTGCAGCTAGATAGCAGGGCAAGCCAAAAGATAACTGACTGAAATGGGAACAGAGGACTACCAACAAATGAGCAGGTAGGACAGCAGAAAGAGGAAATATGGACAGCACTAAATCTTTGGCATTACAAGAAACAAGGAGGAAACCCACTGGTCAGGAGGTAGTCTTCAAGGACTCCACTTCTAGGCCCAGCATGGGCAGCTCACACCTGTAATACTACTAGCTAGTTAGGAGGCTGAGATCAGAGGACCATAGATTAGAAGCAAGCCAGCCAGAAAAGTAACCAAGTCTCTTATCTCCACTCAAAAAACTGGAAATGAGTCTGGGTGCCAGTGGCTCATGCCTGTAATCCTAACTATTCAGGATACTGAGTTCTGAGGCTCACAGAAGCTAGCTTTGGCAGGAAAGTCTACGAGACTTTTATCTCCAATAAACTACTCAGACAAAAGTGGAAGTGGCGCTGTGGCTCAAGGCAGTGGCGCAGTGGCTCAAGCGGTAGAGTGCTAGCCTTGAGCACAAACAGGCATAGAGAAGGAGCCCCGAGTTCAAGCTCTACAACAAACAAATAAACAAAAAAGGACTCTCAGATTCTCTCCATCTAATGCCATGTCTTACCCTAAGGTAAAATGGCTGAGGTAAGTTTAAGAGCTGTCTTCTTGTGGCATATTTGAATGCTCTCTTCCTCTAGTCCTATTTCTTTCATGATAAATTTCCTATTACCATTACTTATGTTTGGGTCTTGCCTGAATTCCTCTTTTGCCAGATGTGAGGACTGAGGTCAACTTTGCTGTCCTAAATTTCTGGTAATGTATTTGGTGTATTGGCCTGGAACTTAGGGATTATGTTGTTTTTTTTTAACTTGGATTCATCAAAAGGTAACAGAACCACAAGGAAAACCACTTCCCTAGAGAAAGTTTGCACTTGGGTTCAAGAAGAAATACACAGGAGTTCATAACAGTAAAAACCTAGAAATAAACTAAAACTACATTAGTAGGGCACTGATGACTAACCTGGATTTTTATATAATGGAAAACTATATTTCAAGATTTAAAATTAATGAACTAGATCTGAAACACCATGGACACATCAAGCATAGTACCATTAAAAAAATAAGTTTTGGAATGACTTGCAGTATATTACTTATGCAAATTTAGGTATTATTATAGAGCAGTTGAAGAAAAAACTATTTTTTTATGATCAGAGGAGAGGAAAAATGAAAGTGGGAAAAGAATATACAACATTTCAACTTTGAATTGTTTATTGTAAAGATGGGGAAGCAGCAATAAAGGTTAATTAAAATTTTAAAAATTCTATATATCACAAATGAAGCAAGGTTCAGGAATGAAAACAGAACCAGAAAGTAAAGCTGGAAATCACAGAGAATATCAGGCTACACTCTCATCCCTTCCCTTCTTTTAGATGTTAAGTAGTAAATCCCTTGAATGGGTAGGGAGTCAGAGAATAAAAGGACACATCTGATAAATGAATTCTAGGACCAGAAAGAAACATCCTAATATTAAATCCACTGCCCCTTAGGCCTTTTGTCTCTCTGTTTTTGGGTAATAGACTATCCTAAACCTATTGTGTCTCTAGATTTGGTGTTGCTAGGTGATCACATGTTTTGGTGAGGATTCAAGTTGGAAGTTCCCAAGAACAGAGGGCACAAACACATCCACACACCTGGCACAAGGACCTCCATTTTTAACTTCTCTGCTCTCCAGATTCCTGTTATCAAGCAGGAGGTACTCTTCTTTTTTACATGTTTTTTTTTTTCCCCTACTTCATTCTGTTTTGCTAAATAAACCTTTGCCCAACTTCCACTTGTGAGTTTCTTTTTATTTTGTCAGTACTGAAGTCTGAACTCAGGGTATTGTACTATGCAAGCACTCTACTACTTGCCCCAGATCCTTTTTCACTTTAGTAATTTTTTAGCTAAGGTCTCATATTTTCTTCCTGGGGCAAGTCTTAGGCCATGATCTTTTGACCTATGTTCCTGAGTAACTCAACTGGATAACAGGTTCAAGTCACTCCATCCAGCTTTTGTGCTGAGAGGGTGTCTTGCTATTCCTAATCTCTGCTCCCAAGGAGCAGGGATTACAGGAGTGAGCCATTGCACCTGGCTGTATTTCCTTTTTTTTTTTTTTAAGCCAAAATACTTTTCATTGTAGATTTCAAGTTCCTGTGATTTAAGTGGGAAATGGGAAGCTAAGTTGAGGATTTCTCCCTGCTTCTCTCTCGTGGGAGAATCCTTCACATCTGCTTCAATTCTCTGGTAACAATATGATGCTACAAATATCTTTTGGCTAGAAATCGCAGGTGTGTGGTTTGAGATTATACTGTTCATCCTTCTGCTTGGTGTTCGTTTGTTTATTTGAAATATTATAGCAATAGTGTAAGGATGTGTTCTATTCTATCACATTTTGTCTGACTTATATCATCCATGGGAGATTTTTGTTTCCTGAACAGTTGATTTGCTTTCAGCTATGAATAGACAGTGAAAATCTTATAGCTGATAATATGCTGTCCTCTTTGCTTGGCTACTTGTAAGTTCTGAGACAAATCTGTGATTCATCTCTTAATACTATATGCTCATATGGCCTGTTCTGTACAGTATACGTTATATATGACAACATACTCATTTTGTATCAGTTTTACTATTTTCATCATCTCCTTTGCTCTAATTCTGAACTTTTTTTTTTTGTTTTGTTTTGTTTTTGTTGGTCGTGGGGCTTGAATTCTGGGCCTGGGCTGTCCCTCAGCTCTTTAGCTCAAGGCTACCACTATACCACTTGAGTCACAGTGCCACTTCTGGTTTCCTGGTGGTTTACTGGAGATAATAGTCTCATGGACTTTCCTGCCCGGGCTGGTTTTGAACTGCGATCCTCAGATCTCAGCCTCCTGAGTAGCTAGGATTACAGGCATGAGCCACTGACACCTAGTTTCTGAACCTTTTTTTTTTTTTTTTGGTTGGGGGAGAGAATAACCAAACCCAGGAACTTGTACATGCTAGACAAGCACTTGACCTCTCAGCCACAACAATAACAAAACCACTCAACATAATTCAACCCAAAAGCATTACATGACTATTTAAATAATAAGCAAGGAAGGGAAATAAGGTTTTGTCGTGCCTTAATGGAGTATAACTACTGATATAAATATTCCCATTAGTCATAAACACTGTTCTGTATGTACATTTATGATTAAAGCATCCCATGTAACAACAGACGGAGTTAACAGTCTTATTCACATAGTATGCCATCTCACTTAAGCTAACAAACTAAATACTAAAGTGGCCTTTGGGACTCACTGATTCATGCA